ACAGCTCACAACAACCTCCAACTCCTGGGCTCAAGTGATTCTCCTGCCTCTGCCTCCCAAGTAGCTGGGATTACAGGCGCCTGCCACAACACCCGGCTATTTTTTGGTTGCAGCCGTCATTATTGTTTGGCAGTCCTGGGCTGGAGTCGAACCTGCCAACTCAGGTATATGTGGTTAGCGCCTTAGCCGCTTGAGCCACAGGCACTGAACCACACCCAGGTATTTTTTTGCTTGTTTTTTTGTAGAGTCAGAGTCTTAATTTATTGCCCTCGGTAGAGTGCTGTAGCATCACAGCTCACAGCAACCTCCAACTCCTGGGCTTACGTGATTCCCTTGCCTCAACCTCTTGAGTAGCTGGGACTACAGGCGCCTGCCACAACATCCAGCTATTTTTTGTTGCAGTTTTGCTGGGTCTGAGTTTGAACCCGCCACCCTCCGTATATGGGGCCACCACCCTACTTTGAAACTTTTTAAACTATCTGCTAATAAAGTTCTTCTCTAACCAGTTACTTTGCATTAGAGAGAGTTTTGATTCAAGGTTAAAGAGGAGGAAACCAACTAACTAAAGGAACATTCACTAAATTATTCCAGTGTTGAACATTACTCTCTCTACACTGTCGCTTTAAGGAGTTGATGGGATATTATATTATAGGATTAGGCCTCAAGACATGCCGAAGGCCAGTAGTACTGTTTAGGCACATGGGCTGTTTGCGTTTGAAGACTGCCCTGTCACTTATTTACTTTCTGACTTTGGGCAGATTGCTTAAACTCTGAACCTGTTTCCTCTTGGGGATAATAAAAGTACTTATCTCATAGGTGTTTTGGTAAAGAGGTTATAAACGATGCCTGGCATATAGTAAGCACTCAATAAATAATGAAAATACACATACTAGATAACACTATCATAGATATTGTCTTATGCCAGGCACTGTTATAATAGCTCCATATTAATGATAGCTATTATTAATATTACTGACTCCTATTTCAGGATTTAGCTTTAGCTGTTTCCGTTTCGGAAGCAAACATAAGAGGTGGAAGTATCACTTATTCTCCTCGATCTTAGTTGCACACTTTCCAAGGCAAGTCACAAAGCACCATTTCCCTGCAGGGAGGGAAAACAAGACGCAGCAGGGTTCATGTCCTATCACCTCAATTTAACAGCAGACTCGAAAGCATGTGCTATGCCATTGAGCATTTAAGTGGAAATTAAGAGTTGGCAGGTTTTGCTGCTCAACTGGTCCCCATTTTAAGGACTTACTATAGCATTTGAGCAGATCGCCCAGGACATTAAAAAATTACCCATGGCGCTTGTTATCCCACAACGTCTTTGAAGGCAAAGCATGTGTCTTAACTAGTCATCTTTGTGACCCCTGCAATGCTGAGCACAAGACTGAACACTAGAGGAGAGGAGAGGAATATAACATCTCCAGGCAAGGGGATGTAATCAGACCCTCTTTCTTTAAATACCATCCTGCAGTTTATCTTCTGAGTGATCTTTTTCATTTCTTATTTTCAAACAACTCTAGTAAAACAGGGGTACCAAAGGGCATATCTGGGCATATGAGCTGCTCTAAGTAAATTTCATCACAGACCTTCTCTGGAGATGGTCATAATGCCTCATGGTCAGAATGGCTCTATTAATAATAGTCATTACAGGAAGCTGCACACCAGGTGGACAAGAGCCACTAGTTGTTACTACTCCCAGTGCCAAGCAGTAAAGAGCACCTCGTATTTCCATTCTTTACACTTAAGTCTTTTAAAACCTGTAGAGCAGGCGCCGGCCACATACACCCAGGTTGGTGGGTTCAAACCTGGCCTGGGCCTGCTAAACAACGACAACTATAACAGAAAAGTAGCCAGGCGTTGTGGTGGGCACCTGTAGTCCCAGCTAGTTGGGGCTGAAGCAAGAGAATCGCTTAAGCCCAAGAGACGCCACAGCACTCCACCGCAGGTGACATAGTGAGACTCTGTCTCAAAAACAAAAAACAGGCTCGGCGCCTGTGGCTCAAGTGGCTAAGGCGCCAGTCACATACACCTAAGGTGGTGGGTTCAAATCCCCAGCCCGGGCCCGCCAAACAACAATGACGGCTGCAACCAAAAAATAGCCGGGCGTTGTGGTGGGCGCCTGTGGTCCCAGCTACTTGGGAGACTAAGGCAGGAGACTCGCTTGAGCCCAGGAGTTGGAGGTTGCTGTGAGCTGTGATGCTACGGCACTCTACCCAGGGGGACAGCTTGAGGCTCTGTCTCAAAAAACAAAAAACAAACACAGAAAAACCTGTAGAGCAATACGTCCAATATCTCTATTTTATGATAACCTTCATTTCTTTGGCTATTTAAAAATTTCTTTTAATATTTAGGAACATTCCATTCCTATACATTGGATCTATAATGAATAGGAAACACTTCGTGCAACATTATAGTTAGATGGTAAACAGAAAACAAGTCAGAAAATATTAGTATTTGCCTCCTATGGGAATTTTAATTTGTCCTCTTGGCATGAAGTGGATGTACCCAGGCTGGATTTTGTACATAGCCTCTTTCATCATACTGACTCATTGTTACAGCTTACAAAGTCACTACTTAAGTGTCTGCAATTGCTACACTACACGTTACCTCTGATTAAAGATTAATCAGATTAGAGAGAGGACATCTATATAGCTGTGTAAGCTTCTTGGTAATAAAATCATATAAATACAAAATACCATTTTATTATAGGTGATCCTGGTGTTACAGCTCAATACATAAATAGCTAGGCATTTATTCAATTTGATTAGAAATGGAGCCTTTTCATGGTGAATTCAAAACATTTTTTAGTTTAGATGCTTTGGTTAAGAAAAGTTTAAAATACCATTAGTCTTTAATAGAGTCACTCTCTGATAATTTCCACCCTTTAGTAACACTGTGTTGAACACAATCTGCTAAATGGTTTACAATGACTAAGTAAGCACTAGTGATTTGATCCCAGGTTTAACGTCTGCCTCCAACACATGTGCTCTCTGCCTTTTCATAAACATCATTTCAAAAACCACAGCCATGGAACTCAGGAGGATCCACTGAGGTGAAAGTAGGGGTAAAATAACAGCTCAAGTCTACAAGTCACCAACACAATTAATTCTACAAACAAGGTCTGTTCTTGCCGGTCGTAACATCTTAGTAGATTTCTGCACTTAATTTCAAAGAATGAGTCATTGCAGGAATGAAAAGGCCATTGCTGGGATACACCAGTCATGACATGAACCGAATACTAACCTCAAGGAGCATATTAGGTTTAACAGGAGAGTGTGGTACTTTCAGGACCTTGTGGAGCCCAAGAGACTTGGGACTCTTCCATTACAAAAACTTTTTTTCTAACATGAGTCATTCTAAAAGGGGGCACAAAATTCTAGAGTATTTTAGTTCATACGGAACAAACTGAATTGGATGATGATAGCCTTTGGTTTCATCCTAACAAGAGTATCTATGACTATCAATATATATATACAGTCTCTCTTGGAGGAAACACCAAATCTAAACTCAATTATCAGAGTAAATGCATTTTAAGGATCCTCTTAGTTCCAAGTCTATGGTTTTTGAGATTATGTTTGTGAAAAGGCAGAGAGCACCTGTAATGAGAATCAATCATTAAGCCTAGGTTCAAATCAATAGTACTTGATCTTTGTAAACCATTTAACAGACTGTGTCCAACACAGTGTCAGTAAACGGTAGCAATTAACAAAGTGAATGTGACCCCCATCAAATGGCCCTCTCTTTTATCCCTGAAGTCCCAGGAGATGTCGCTCCTCATAAATGTGCTAAATTGGTCGCAAGGAGTGTTGTTAGACAGTCTCAGAACCACTCCCTTCATCAGCTTCAGGGCCTTCCCCGGGGCAGGCTTTCGCCCTCATCAGGAACCTTTAATTTGGGAGGCTAGGATCAGTCCTGGCAGACACAGCGCCAAGGCCTTTCGGGTTCTGCCCAGGCTAACGCAAAAACCGAAACGAATCTCAGGGTCTGTAACCTACAGCCATAGCAACTTCTGACACTTGGCAGCCACGACTTTTCTCGAAACTTAAACGTATCAGAACACCGGGCCTGGCTCTGAAAGCCAATGACCGGGTGGGAGCGCTAGAAAGGGGGAGGAATTTCCTCTGGCTCTACGCGCTAATCGCAGTCACTGCACTGAGACTCGTCCTCTGGCGTCCCTCGGGTCCAGCTGCCAGGAGAGAGCAGCATAGCGGACACAGCCAGATTTCCTGCCAAGGTCGCTGCCGCCAGCGAGACATAGGGCCAGCGTGAGAACCTGGGGGCCACGATCCCGGCGGGAAAGGCTGCGCGCGGGGTACGACGGGAAAGGCCGCGGCGCGCTCACAGCCACAGACTCGCCCCGCCCCGCTCCGCTCCGCGCATCGGCTGGGCGGCCTCCCTGCGGGCGGCTCTGATTGGACTGCCGAGCCCCGCGCTCTGATTGGCCGTGTGGGCGAGGCGGAGGAGAGCCGTGCGCAGCGGCGTGTGTGGGGCCGTGTGCAGACCCGCGTGTGGCGCAGGCAAGGACCCTGAAAATAAACAGCCGCTGCCTTGCCAGCCGCTTCCTCGGGCCTGCGTCCGAGTCTCCGCTGTTGCGGGCCCGCTCAGACGCCGAAGGTGAGGGCTGGGAGTGGGGTCGTCACGGAGGGAGCCGCAGCCCGGGCCGAGGAGGACGGAGAGGGGAGCGAGCGGTGAGGCAGCGATGGCGGCCGCACTTTGGCCCTCGCTGCTCTGCTGCTGCGTCAGGCGGGAAGCTCGGCTGCCGCTGCCGTCTCGGTCGCGCCTTCCCAGCCTGCCGCAGTCGGGCGACACTTCTGTCCTTGTTTCGTTCCGGGGTGCTGGGCTGCCCCGCGTCGGGCCTCTCCGGCGCCAGGGCCGCACCCCAGGCCGCAGGCGGACGGCGGAGGAGCCCGGGCCCCGTGTGCCCTTGGGACGGAGGCCTGAGGCGTCGAGGGGCGCGGAGCGAGCGGCCGGGGCCGAGTTGGCGGGAACTCCCCGGCAGGGGGCCGTGCGGTGGGGAGACGACCCGCTGCGGGCGGGACGGCGGGGTGGGTGGTGTGCGGGCCATGTGCGGGGTGGGGGTCGGGCGGGCCTGGTGCCAAGGATCCTGGGGGCCTTCGGAGAAGGTTCTCGGAGAAGCCCCTGGTGTTTGGGGCGGCGGGACACGTCGCTGGAAGGCTTGGGAGCCTTTGGAGTTTATAACTCTCCGTACTTGGTAGTTTCCTGATTGTTGGATTTTTATCGTCGTTTGAGTATTTAGTTGCTTTTGTATCGTTGCTATTCGAAAAAGGGCTGATAGTGCCCGCTTTTCCCGAATCAACACGATTTAAGTTACGGGGCCCTTTAAAAGCCCTAATATCAGAAAAACCATGACTTTGTCAAACCTCCAAAATCGTAGCAGCAGCAGCAGCAGCAGTCTTTGCATCATTTCTAGGATTAATAAACGGGTATAATTTACAAACAGACGTAGTTTAATTAGCTATCCTCCGTCTAGATTTTCCATAACGTGAAAACCTAAGTTTAGAATGGCATAATCGTCTACATTTAGGTTGGGCTGTTGATTTTATTATAGGTAAGGCTGTGCTTGTTGCCACATGTTAACCACATGGCCTCAGCCACGGGGCACTTCCAAAGGAAGTGACTGCATCTGGTCTTCGGGGTCTTATAAAAAGAAAACATTGCTCAGTAATCGTTTGTGACTTCAGCTAGTGTGTTTCAGGCATTATTTAGAACCCACAGAAGGGATGAGATAAAGAAGCCAAGACTCTGGGTGTGTTTTTTGTCTTTTAAATAAAAGTAAAAGAAGACTAATTCACGTCCCCATCTTTCTCCTAAATTTAGTTTTAAAAGTAGGTTTTTCTCCTTTCCTATTGTTTGACCTTATTTTGTGGCAAAACATAATCAGTTAATATTTGCATCAAGGAGTTAATCTTTGAATTTTAATTAGCAACTTTATGTTACTTATTTGTTCAAGGAGTACAAATTGAGTGTAAGGCTTTGAGGATTTAAAATGAGTCCTTATCTCCTAGGTAAAGCATTTTTTTCTTTAAAGTTTCTACAGAATTGACTTTGAAGGCTCATCAAACACCTATAAAGTGCCATGGTCCTAAGTACATGCTGTTTTTAGCTTATTGAGCTTGATTCTTGGCTAGGATCTCTTTGTGTACTGTAATATGAAAAGAATAATTTATTAGATTCCCAAGTGCTGAATGAAGAGCTTGAAAGTTTTTCCAAATTGCGTCTCTTGGCAGCAAAAGACAAAAAAGTGAACAGTATATATTTCTGTACCGTATCTATATATTTCACAGTAGGAAACTTGTCTTTTTTTGGAAATCAAAGGTCTACATTTCTTTTCATATTGATAACAAGAGAAGTAATGTTTTTTGAACAGATGTACAGTCTCTAAAATGTTTTGAACCAAATCAGTGGAAGACCAAGGCCATTTCTTACACTAGCACTTGAACATCTGGGACAGGCAGGGTAATTTCTTTTTTTAAATAGTGTGAGTTTTTTAATATGATTTATGAGTGGGTTGTTTTTATTTTTAAAATCTAATAAGAATGTGGCACATAATGGGAGGGTAGCAAATTGTTCCTTAAAAGCAGTGGAACCACCACTGGACTAGTTGGAGTGGTTGGTCTTTTGGCAGAACACTTGACCACAGAGACTTTGCTCTTTTTTCCCCTGCAGGAGTGAGAGTTAAAAAAAAAAAAAAAAAAAGATTGTTGACTCCTTTCTCTTCCTAGGCTCCTGACAGTAAGTAGAAAGCCAGAAGAATGGTGCCAAGGCTGCGTGGAGAACGCTCTTTGCTGTCTCACTTAATAGAACTCCTGCTCTGGCACTGTCAGGTGCTGCAGGAAGGGAATGCCATTGAGAAATTGCAGTAAGCTGTGCCACATTTTCATGTTAAAAAAAAAAACAACTACTGGGAAAATAAACGAGAGCTTGTGGCTACCAAAGTCCAGTTGTAAGCAGAAGGATTTTGCTAATTAGGAATATGAGAGGGCTGAAGGGGCACCATAAAGATAAATAAGGGTACTAGTGATACCACGTTGCCAGTATTTATATGTTTGGTGACACTTGTGAGTTCTGCAGTGAGGAAGTTAAGAAAATCTGGGTTTAAAATTGAAGAAAGCTGTGGGATACTAGGAATAAAAAAGTAATAAAGTTATCAGTTCTGGTTTTGATTTTTGTCTAAATAGAAATGCAGAACAAGTACTTTATGTGTGGTTTTTCCATTTTTTTTTTACAGTTGTACAGTAGTAATACCTTTGTCATTATTGAAGTGAGAGTAAATTGGTGTATCCTTTATAATAGCATTTTTGTGTACTTTATCACTTAACTCATAAGCCTCTACAGAGGATTTAGAGCCAGATTGTTGAAATCCTGATTCTAGTACTTTCCAGCTGTATGGTTTTGGATAAGTCACTTGGTGTCAAATCATTAGTTTTCTTATCATTAAATTGTAGCAAGAGTACATAACTTGCAGGTCTGTAAGATTATAGATAATGTTTATTAATACCTGACTCACAGATACTCAGCTATTAAAACCCTTCAGAATTGATACAGGCAGACAGAAATGGATGTAATTAACTAAGGTCAGGCAGTAAATGTAGGAACCAGGATAAGAACATGGAATTGCTTTCCGTGATGCACTCTGTTCTTCATTATTCTGGCCAGAATGCAGGTATTGCAGAATGTGTCTTGCTTCCTTTCATTTTATGTGTAGTTATTTTTATTGCAACTATGTTGGAACATTAAACTAGACTTATTGGAACTTAGTGAACATCCAGAGGGCAAAAAAGTTCCACTATGGTTCAACTTCAGTTAGGTCAACAACATGGATGAGTCAGGAATAACCCTGAGCTTGGGGAAAATAAGGATATAATGTAAATGTGTACAGCTGTGTTAGGAAAACCATATAAAATAATAAAGATAGCCAGAATCACATAGTTTGCTGGAGTCATTTTTTGCCCAGGTTTTCCTCTTGCTACTTATTTTAAAAGTACTTTGTAGGACAGAGTTATGATTATTTTATTTATTAGAACTCTTAGTTAGTCTTGACCACATGCTGTTAGATTTAAGTAGTTTATTGGCTTTGTTCCTAGTATCAAAAGTATGGCACAATTATGTTAATAGGACAAATTTAAAAGACCATTTGTGCTTTTTATCAATTCTAGTATTTAATCTTCAAAGCCTAGAGAAGCACCAATCTGTTAATTACGCAGCCCTTAGGTTAGCATAGATGGCCCCTCACAGTGAATCTTTAGTCTTTTCAAGCATTATCATACTTGTGGTAGTCATATTCCTCCTGCCTTGTACTCCTGTGCTCCTACCACCTGTTTGAGTGGTTTATGTCATGTAAATTGGAACTTAGAAACAGATGTCTGATAAGCAGAGTTAGCTCCACTTTAAATCTGCTGTGTAAATGTTGGTCTGAGTTCTATCCAAACTCCTGTAAGAATTCAAACTTAATTGGGAGAGGAGTGGAAAGGAAAGAGTAACTATGCAGAGGACATAAACCTTTACAGGTTTTTTAATTGAACATCTATTAAAACCCTTCAAAGCAATTTGAGATTTTACCCTATTTTTAAAAAAATGAACATTTGTTAAGCCCAAGGTACCTTGTAACAATTCTTGTGACAGATTATCTTGTCCCTTCTACAAGTAAGGATGAGAAGAGCTATCAGATGTCTTTGAAGTTAACAAAGTATGTGAGTAAGCTGGGTTAAGTGCCTTAAAAGATAACTATGGGTTGTTGTGATGATTTAAAGGTAAATTACTTCGTCTCTGCCTTAAAAGAATATGATAAAAAGCAATGTGGTAGAGCCATCAGACAGATATTAACAAAGTGTCCTGGGTTTTTTTTTTTAAATAGAGTTGGCATTTACAGAAAGCAGTATTTCTGTTGGCTTGAAGGATGGAAAAGGTGACACGTGGAGAAGGGGCAGGGAAGAACAGGACAGTGTAGCAAAATTCTAGCCAGGAGCTGTTACATAGCAAGTGAGAGTCATGAGGCCATAATTCTCAACTCTGTCTACTTTATTTTTTTTTTTTTTTTT